CACTGCAAAAAGATTATATATATATAATATACACTTAATGTATATTATATTTATAATTCCTATATGAATATGAACATATATATATATATGAATGGGAAAGCTACATTTAGACAAAGATCTTCTTGTGCAAGATCAAGCAGAAAAAACTGAAGAGAATAAGTAAAAAATGAGACAACACAAGCAGAAGAACCTAACCAGATCCAAGCAGGGAATCTTTCCTTAGCCACACTGAAAAAAGAGGAGAGGGTCATTCCAAGTCCTTGGGGAAGAGGGACGGAGATGATAGAAGGAAAGCAATGCATGTGGTTCTGTCCCCTCTGGCTCGTGTGTCCTCTCTCTCTCTCCTCTGTTATGTTGCTGCTGTTATTATTATTAGTCATCATTACAATTTTACCTCAAAACATTTGCTGGATTATTTGCATTCCTATAAAGTAGCTTAAATCCTTTACTGGAATAGGCTGCTTATAAATACAGACTTTTAATAGAAATATTTACATAAAATTATATTATTCACACCCATCTATAGTATTTATAAATACATAAATTAAAAAATATATATATATTCATTCAAAAGTTAATGTATACATGTAGATTTCATTCCAGAGTTTGGGTTTAGTAGCTCTCAACAAATCATCTTTTGTCTTCATAAAGCCCTGCGATAAGAAGTCCTTCCAGATATTCTTGCATATGGACCCCTGGGTGAGGAATGGATTCCACCTCCACCCCCCCATCATTAGAGACCAGAGTTTTGTATCTAGTGAGGTAGGAGTTGAGCAGAGCGGGGAGGGACGAACCACGATGGCAACACCAGAGCTGTGACTGGGCAAGCACACAGAACGTACAACCACACATACCAGCAACTTCTGAAGGGGTGAGACTGCCATGAGGCCCAGACTTGGGCTGGAAATTTGGGAGTGTCAGGAATAATTTTTGTGTGTAAAGACGGAAGGTATCTGAGTTACACAAACAAGAGGGTGTTCACTATGAACCCAAATGAGCACTTCCTGGGTGAGGAGACTGTGGCTGTGGTAGCACTTTCTAGGTAACGGGAACTGTGACTCCTTGGGGTCCGGTGGCGACTAGGCCATGGTGCCAGTGAGAGTGCTGCCTCTCATTGGTGAACGGCAGCTCGAGCTTCACCCCCCGGATTCTACTCCCTTCTCAGCGGGATGAAGATCCACTAGGGGGTGGTGAGGAGCTTGAATGTGGGTGATAAGTGCTGTTCTGTGTGTGAAGTGTAAGATGACAGGACGAAATAGAGTTTGTGGGACTAGTGTATAGTGTGTCCTTTTCACAGTTGCAGAAACTAAAGTTTTTAAAGAAGCTAAAGCTGGCTGAGGCAACTCTGTGGAGGTCAAAATTTGAAGATGGTGGAAGAGTCATGACATTTGCTGTTCAAAATTCCTGTCCTCTTTTCTTTCTTACAATCTATGGTGATTTCTCGGGAATAAACATATTACTGCAAGTAATAATGTGGTGATTATTGGTACGACTATAATTTTATTGATGGAGTTTTAAAATCTCATGTATCATCTCATTTAATTCTCACAACTGAGGTAGGTGACAGAGCTAGGATGTTCATGGTTCAATTAAGGGTAGAAAAGTTTTTGGTAAAGAAGTAATTTTATGTCTTTAAACCTTAAATCAAAGTGCTGCAGGTACTACTGTGTTACCTACTTATCCTTTCCCTTAGTTTTATCTTTCTACCAATATCTTGCTTGGTACACAGAATATTTTGAAGATTGCACATGTATTATATTATGCTGTTCTAGATGATGTCATATATTATGTGATATTTTTTCTGCCCTACTTAATAAGTATTTCACAGATATAAAAAGAATCTTTGATAATAGTTACAGAAGTTGGGGGAAACAATAAGTCTTAGGTCAAAACAAGCTGGGATTCTGCAAATCAATCAACATGATACAATACATTAATAAAAGAAAGGACAAGAACCATATGATCCTCTCAATAGATGCAGAAAAAGCATTTGACAAAGTACAGCATCCTTTCTTGATTAAAACTCTTCACAGTGTAGGAATATAGGGAATATACCTCAGTATCATAAGAGCCATATACAAAAGCCCCACAGTGAATACCATTCTCAATGGGGAAAAACTGAGAGCTTCCCCAAGGTCAGGAACATGGCACGGATGTTCAGCCTCACCACTGCCGTTCAACATAGTATTAGAAGTCTTAGCCTCAGCAATCAGACAACGAAAAGAAATAAACGCATCCGAATCGACAAAGAAGAAGTCAACTTCTCACTCTTTGCAGATGACATGCTACTGTATGTGGAAAACCCAAAAGACTCCTCCCCAAAATTGCTAGAACTCTTACAGGAATTCAGCAAAGTGATAGGATATAAAATCAATGCACAGAAATCAGTTGCATTTCTATACACTAACAATGAGACAGAAGAAAGAGAAATTAAGGAATTGATCCCATTTACAATTGCATCAAAAACCGTAAGATACCTAGGAATAAACCTAACCAAAGAGGTAAAGGATCTGTACTCAGAAAACTAGAGAACACTCATTAAAGAAATTGAGGAAGACATAAGGAAATAGAAAAACATTCCATGCTCCTGGATTGGAAGAATAAATATTGTTAAAATGTCTATGCTACCTAGAGCAATCTATACATTCAATGCAATTCCTACCAAAATACCATCAACCTTTTTCACAGAGCTGGAACAAATAATCCTAAAATTTGTATGGAACCAGAGAAGACCCCAAATAGCCAAAGGAATGTTGAAAAAGAACATCAAAGCTGGTGGCATCACAATGCCAGTCTTTAAGCTCTATTACAAAGCTGTCATCATCAAGACAGTATGGTACTGGCACAAAAACAGACACATAGATCAATGGAACAGAATAGAGAGCCCAGAAATGGACCCTCGACTCTATGGTCAACTAATCTTTGACAAAGCAGGAAAGAATATCCAGTAGAAAAAAAGACAGTCTCTTCAACAAATGGTGTTGGGAAAACTGGACAGCCACATGTAGAAGAATGAAACTGGACCATTTCTTTACACTGTATACAGAAATAGACTCAAAATGGATGAAAGACCTAAATGTGAGACAGGAATCCATCAAAATCCTAGAGGAGAACACAGACAGCAACCTCTGTGACCTCAGCCACAGCAACTTCTTGCTAGACATGTCTCCAAAGACAAGGGAAGCAAGGGCAAAAATGAACTATTGGGACTTCATCAAGATAAAAAGCTTTTTGCACAGCAAAGGAAACAGTTGACAAAACCAAAAGACAACCGACAGAATGGGAGAAGATATTTGCAAATGATATATCAGATAAAGGGCTAGTATCCAAAATCTATAAAGAACTTATCAAACTCAACACCCAAAGAACAAATAATCCAATCAAGAAATGGGCAGAAGACATGAACAGACCTTTCTCCAAAGAAAACATACAGATGGCCAACAGACACATGAAAAAATATTCAACATCCCTCGGCATCAGGGAAATCCAAATCAAAACCACAATGAGATACCACCTCACACCAGTCAGAATGGCTAAAATTAACCACTCATGAAACGACAGATGTTGGCGGGGATGCGGAGAAAAGGGGAACGCGCCTACACCGTTGGTGGGCATGCAAGCTGGAGCAGCCATTCTGGAAAACAGTGTGGAGGTTCCTCAAAAAGTTGAAAGTAGAGCTACCCTAGGACCCAGCAATTGCACTACTAGGTATTTATCCCAAAGATACAAATGTAGTGATCCAAAGGGACACCTGCATCCGATGTTTACAGCAGCAATGTCCACAATAGCCCAACTGTGGAAAGAACCGAGATGTCCATCGATAGATGAGTGGATAAAGAAGATGTGATATATATGTATCACACACACACATAGGAGTACTACTCAGCCATCAACAAAAATAAAATCTTGCCATTTGCAACAACGTGAATGGAACCAGAGGGTATTATGCTAAGTGAGATAAATCAGTCAGAGAAAGACAAGTATCATATGATCTCACTCATATGTGGAATTTAAGAAACAAAACAGAGGATCATAGGGGAAGAGAGGAAAAAATAAAACAAGATGAAATCAGAGAGGGAGACAAACCATAAGAGTCTTAATCATAGGAAACAAACTGAGGGTTGCTGGAGGGAAGGTATGGGGTAACTGGGGGATGGACATTAAGGAAGGCATGTGATGTAATGAGCACTGGGTATTATATAAGACTGATGAGTCACTGACCTCTACCTCTGAAAGTATTAATATGTTATATGTTAATTAATTGAACTTAAATAATAAAAAATGCTATAGCTACTTGCAGCTAAAAAAAAAATGATGGGTTTGGAGCAGAATACTTTTAAATCTTTAAGTTTCTGTTCTAATGTTGTAAGTAGAGTTTAACGTCTTAGTACTTTAAAAGAGCATTGTACCATTTGAGAAAAGAAACAAGCTGCGATCCAGGGAGAACTATTTTGGGACTTAGTCTGAGGGGAGATGCAGTTTAGGTCTGGGGAATAGGTCGGAGTTCTCGGTGGGAGGTGTACGTGTTTGTGGCGGGGGAGTTGGAGAATGACAGGAGCAGCTTCCCCCACCTGGGTCACATATCTTCACAGTGAAGGGTTCTTCTATGGTAAGAAAAGTTGTGAATTTCCAGACTACCTATACATATTCAAAATAAGTTCATAATGCATTTAATTTTAAATAAATGCTGACAAATTGTTTTTGTATCATCACTTTTAATAAACCTAACACATAAAATCTATATCTAACTGTGCAACATATGGATGGTCTTCAAGGAATCTGTGAACTCCCCAAAATTGTATGCAAAATTGTGTGCATAGGTGCATTGTTCTAGAAAGGGTCTGTGGCTTTCATCAAATTCAAACACATGACTCTAAAATAATTAAAACCCAATGAATAGGTAATTAAAAATTGAGAAATTAGTCCCATAACAAGGACCTTTTTTCTCTCATAAAATTAGGGCTTTTAAGCATATGATTTGGACATAAATACTGACTTACATCAAGAGCCACGGACTGCTTGGCCCAAGACTTCTTCACTTGATCATACATAATTGTGTTGTTGATGCCCAGGCCACAGAAGATGACAAAAGCCTAGGAAAGAGAAAGCCCACTAATTAAAAATTGCAATAACTCATTGGTATAATCTAATATGAAAGCAGGCAGTCATCAGAAATGGGTCTGAAAATATAATTTTATTGTACACAGAGGTAGGCCTTGGGGAAATATGCACATTAAAATTCTTAATTACTATTGTCATGTAACAACTTTATAGCTCACATTGCACATGAGAAAAAATTATTAACATAATGTCATGGTGAAGAAATGACTTTATAAATTTAAAGACATACTTACAGTCTTACCAAATGTGTTCTTAATTTATTTAGGTCGTGGACTGGTTTTAGTAATTCCATTCCATTAAACTAAAGCACCCTCTTTTAGTGGCTAGGCTATAAAATATTTTGGTGAGGAAACCAAGTGAGCATACCCATGAGGTAAATGTTATTAAGAGGAAGGAAGATAGATCTAGAACCAGTTAGTAAAGAAGCTGTGAGGTATTCTCTCCTAGAGAAAAAATAATCATGGGGTTTTCATGTTGGTTACTGTTGGTGCAAAGTTTAGAAGGATGCCTGTTCAAGGCCAACATTTCCAGCTACAGGACAGACTGGAATAAAGGGAGGCTTGAAAACACAAGAAAGGAGATGGCCGAACTTGCCGTGGAGCTGGCTGGCGGTCTGGCAGCTACAGACATACTCTTGACAGATTTTGGCAAGCTGCAACCAGGAGACTATTGGTGACTCAGCCCTAGCCTTTGGTTCACAAATTTATTTTCTTACCTCAAAAAGTCGTTGATCTGCATCATCAAAAGCTTTCCCGTCAAGTCTATTTAACACTTGAGCCACTCCTGTGGGAAGAGTTTGGGTGACGTGGTCATTTTTAGCACTGGCCACTGTATTACTATAATATAATAAAGCCCAGCTGACTCAATACGTCCCTTAGGTAACTTCAGACACTCAGTCTAATCTCTGGTCTTCCCACTGCCTGCTGTCGCCATGGGACAGATTTGAGGTACAGCGATGTGGTCTATCTTCAAGGATGTGTTATCCAAACAGGGTCACAGTGAAGCCTGGAGTTCTACTGGGAGTCAGTCTGATTCCTTGAAAATGGTTTTCAGGAGAACTGTGCACAGTGACTCGGATATGTCTGACAAATATACACACTCATATACACATATATGCAATTAGATATACACTGAATATTAATAACTGTGTGTATATACATATGTGTGTCTACATATATTTATGTAATTTTTTATGTTTTCAATCCCGTGGAACACAGTGCTTGAGCGAGGCAGGATGACATCATGATTAAGAACATGGGCTCTGGTGTCACACTGTCTCAGGTCACATTTCAACGCCACCATCAGCTGTTACCTTGAACAAGTTACCTAACTTTTTTAGCACTGAAAATCCTCATCTGTAAAATGGGGATTAAAATGTTCACTATCTCAGAGGGTTATGAAGATGAAATGAGATAATGTTTGAATGTTTTAAAGCATATTGCTCCACATGGAGTGAACATTCAAGAAATGTGGGGGATTGTGGCACAGTTAACCTTCAAAGCAAGGTTAGATCTGCTGCCCTCTACCAATGGGGTACACACACTTCTAACAAACTTAATTCCTATGTACTTCCTCTTTCCAAAGTTCATTTCCAGCATTGTACCAGATGTTTTGGGGCAAGACTCTCAAAACATACAACTCTAACCAGAAAAACTGAACAATCTTGAAAAACATTCTCCTGTGTCCCCATTTGGTACAAACAAAAAATAGCTATAATTCTGAAGCATACCTGTGTTTTTTAAAACACCTACGTTCCCCCTAGGGAAGTAAGGCATCATATGCTAGAAGACACGTATAATGACATATATAATGAAACACAAATCTTTAGCGTGTAATAGGCAAACTGCAGTCTTAATCTGGAAAGAATAACAGATGTTTACTGTTACGAATGAAAGCTAGGACCGTACTTGAGATTGCCATTGGACATCAACAGATAGCACAGAAAGAGTGTTTCTTATGCACTTTCTCTTCTCTTTAAACTTAAATATATTTAAAACTATACATTATGCAATTCAACACTTTGTACTAGGGGCTCGAATTCCCAACTCTTAGAACATTCTTTATGTTCATTAATGTACCAATATTTTTCTGCAAATTAAGCAAACTGATGAAAAAATTCTGTTACAGTTCAAGTCTTGATAATATTTACAGTATACTAAATCCTTTGATAAGTAGCAGTGTCTTACAGTTTAACGGACAATGTTGGAGGGAAGCAAAGAAAGGCAAATGCACTAGTTACCTTGTGTCTCTTAGAAAAAAAATCATGTTTTAATTATGTTTCAATAATTTTAACGCCTCCACTCTTTATGACTTCTCTACTTTACCCACTGACTTCTTTCTTGGGTTTGATACTTTCCTGACAGAGGTTCTGAGGGGAGGGAAAGGAGCAAAGGAGGGAGAAAAAACTTGGAAGCTGCTTTGGCACACAGTTCTGTTATTCTGGGTCAAGTATAACCTATTTCAGAATCATCCAGACAGAAAGATACATGCTCAGTATATGTCTAATAATGCATGTTCTTTTTCCTTTGCATGTACTCCATGTGTAAAAGCATAGATGGAAAATACAGATGTAGTGGGAAAATCTGTATAGGAGTTAGGAGGCCTGACTTGTAATCCCGATCCTGCTACTAACTTTCTGTGACTTTATTCTGGTCTTTGTGTGATTCCACCATCCCACCTCAATTTCCCCAAGGTAAAATAGGAGAGTTGTATTAGTTGATTTCTGAGATCCCCTCCAACTTCAAAATTATTGATCCTTAGTTAAAAGAATAAATCTTTGTTCATTGTTCTGGTTAATGTCAATTCATTAGGCGTCTGCACTTACGAAATTATATGAGAGAATGAAACATAGGTTGATGAGTCCTGGACATAAAGCGGGGAGCAGGTATCACTTCTTGGCCTTTTTGCTAAGATCAAGTGTAAAAGGGGGGAGCAGGTACAAAAGATATGGTGTATTTTAAAGTAAATCTGTCTTTCTTTTACAAGAAGTTTGCACTGGGGCACCTGGGTGGCACAGTTGGTTAAGCATCCAACTCTTGGTTTCATCTCAGGTCACGATCTCAGGGCCATGAGACTGAGCCTTGCACTGGCTCCACGCTCAGCATGGAGTCTGTGTAAGTTTCTCTCTCCCTCTGCCCCTCACCTGCTCCCCCAAATGAAAAAAAAAGAAAAAAGAAAAAGAACTTTAAACTATTTAGGTAATGTCTTACCAATTATTTGGTGGTTGCTATTCCAAATAGGGACGCAGAGAACAGATCTTATATGAAACCCCGATATCTGGTCAGCCTAGGATATAAGAAAGTAATTAATTAAAATTAAACATTATTTACCCATTTCTGACTTACAGCTTACCACTCTTCATAACAGACATTTAAAAATAGCTTTTAAAAAGACACATTATAATCTCTTTTTAAATGCATACACTCACCTGCCTCTTTTAATTTAAAGCATCACAATAGACATCCTAAGGAGATCAAACCCCAACCAAATATGAATCAACCAAAAGACCCCTCACCAATGCTACCTCCCGCAATCCCTGTAGCCACGGAGAGCTGGATGTAAAACTCTCTCTTTTTTTTTTTAAGATTTTATTTACTTATTAGACAGTGAGCGAGAGAGAAACAGCATGAGAGGGGACAGAGTCAGAGGGAGAAGCAGGCTCCCCACTGAGCTGGGAGCCTGATGTGGGACTCGATCCCAGGACTCTGGGATCATGACCTGAGCCGAAGGCAGTCGCTTAACCGACAGAGCCACCCATGCGCCCTGGATGTAAAACTCTTGATCGTGATCATACCACCAGACAAAAATTCTAGCAACAGTTTCTGCTCTGAGTATTTAAAACATTTTAATTAAACTAGTGGTCAATATTTCTCTTTGTTTGGGCTCAACTGTTAGTAAAAATATTTTGAGCCTATAATGCTGCCATATGCATATATACTTTTAATACTCTTTCTCTCTCTCTCTATATATACATATATATATTTATACATATATATTTTTTTAATTTTATTATGTTATGTTAGTCACCATATAATACATTATTAGTTTTTGATATAGTCATCCATGATTCATTGTTTTCGTATAACACCCAGTGCTCCTCCATGCAGTACATGCCCTCCTTAATACCCATCACCGGGCTAACCCATCCCCCACCCCCCTCCCCTCTAAAACCCTGTTTGTTTCTCAGAGTCCATAGTCTCTCATGGTTCATCTCTCACTCCCATTTCCCCCCCCTTCATTTTTCTCTTCCTTCTCCTAATGTCCTCCATTGCTATTCCTTATGTTCCACAAATAAGTGAAACCATATGATAACTGACTTTCTCTGCTTGACTTATTTCACTTAGCATAATATCCTCCAGTCCCATCCATGTTGATGTAAAAGTTGGGTATTCATCCTTTCTGATGGCTGAGTAGTATTCCATTGTATATATGGACCACATCTTCTTTAACCATTCATCTGTTGAAGGGCATCTTATCTCTTTCCACAGTTTGGCTATTGCGGACATTGCTGCTATGAACATTGGGGTGCATATGGTCCTTCTTTTCACTACATCTATGTCTTTGGGGTAAATACCCAGGAGTGCAATTGCTGGGTCATAGGGTAGCTCTATTTTTAAATTTTTGAGGAACCTCCACACTGTTTTCCAAAGTGGCTGTACCAACTTGCATTCCTACCAACAAATGTTGGAAAGGTTGTGGAGAAAGGGGAACCCTCTTACATATATATTTTTTAAGAGATTGAGCACACATGAGTGTGGGTATGGGGGTGGAGAGAAGGAGAGAGAATCTTAAACAGGCTCCATGCGCAGTGGGGCTCAATCTCACGACCCTGAGGTCATGACCTGAGCCAAAATCAAGAGTCAGACGCTTAACCAACTGAGCCAGCTAGGTGCCCCAGTACTCTATATTTTTAACATCACTAATTTACTATATATATTATAAAATCATATACAAAAAATTGAAGTTGCAAAAATATATGATAAATGTAGAGGTTCAGAGATCTTCTTTCTATACTCTAGCAGACTGTCGGATGACATATTTAAGATAGGAAGATACAATTACTAGGATCAAAAACCATCATTCAGTAATAAGCTCCACTTAATATTAAAACCAATGGTCCATATCTAACTGTTAGATAAGAGCTACTAAAGACTGATAGGGTGTTGGTGAGTTCATATGACCTTGATGTCTCGTGAGAAAGGTCAACCTGTCATCCCAATACTATAGGGGAAAAAAAAGACATCAAGGTTTTAGATCATGGTTATTGGGGAAATAAAGGTACTCTTTTTCTACAATGTTCATTGTAGAAATTAAGTGCTACATATTTTAAAAACATTTGAAATTGGGAGTTCATTTACATACCTAAATTTTATGTTTAGATTGTTTTGGTTTTCCTCTGAGAAATTAATTTCCCAGGTATCTTCTATTCTTGATACCAGCATGTTCATTTCTTTTTTTAAAGTATTTGTTTGGTTTTGCTCAAGAAATCTTTCCCTACTCCTAGCTCATGAAGATATTTTCCAAATCTTTTCCTAGAATCTTTGTTGTTTTAGCTTTCACGTCTAGATTTGCAAACTGAAAGTGATTTTCGAGAATAGTGTGAGCTAAGAGTCAAGACTCTTCTAATGTATATTTATTTACCACCTCCTATGCACCAGACACATGGCTGGGTTTGGAGGATATAAAAAAAAAAAAATGAATTTAAACAGTTGTGTGAGGAGCTCACAGTGTAGTAAAAATAGAAATAGTTAAGATAAAATAAGTGTCCAAGTAAAGCAATTTCAAAATACTATAGAAAAGCCAGCAACCCTTTTTAGAGAAATGAAGAGTAGCTTTAGATCCTTATAAGTGGGTCTTCAAGGACAGTGATGGCGCTGATGATGCTGAGCTAACGTTTCCTGGATGTTCAGTTCCTGTCAGGCACTGGGTTCAGCACCTTCACACGCATTATCTTGTATACTTGTTAAAACAACCCTGCAGGTAGGTCCTGTTCACTCCCTCCCTCTCAGATAAGAGATTAACTGCCTTGAGAGTGGAGAGACTGGTTCAAAGGAAGTCAGGCAATAACAAACACATCCATCAAAGTTATCTTCCGAAAGAAACAAAGTGGTTTTCTTTTTCTCCCTCCGGCTGCAGTCTGACTTAACAGCAATGCTAGTGAGCAGGCAGAGGAGGAGGTGGGTTGTACAGAGGTCTGGGAGGCATCAGCCACAGACTCAGGCTAGCCAGAGCAGCGCTAGAATGTCTGGGTCTGTTTTGTTCTGCTGAGGGTCACACCCAGCGGTCGGTAGTAGGAGGTATGGTTGCCTCTGCCAACTCTGGGACAGCCGTAGTCCCACGCTACCTGTCCTAGGAGATCTGCAGCAGCTGAGGAACGAGGTCGCAGTGCAAGAAGACAAGGACATGCAGTGAGTGAAAGAAACAAGGAGAGAGACAGCTTGAGAGGCTGGTGGTGCAGAAAAACAAACCTTAGCCTGTTTATTAGTGAAATAAGAGAGAATTTTGTTTACCAAAAATTATTACAGTTCCCCCAAAGAAGTTTCTATTCTGGGGAGGTTCTCTCATCCCTGCCGAGGATAACATGGAAATTTCAGGGTTGAGGAAGAGTGGCTGGAGTTCGCTGATGTGGGGAACACAGGAAGTCTGAGCGAAATGATTCCAAGTTCAAGTTCCAGTTGGGAAGGTGGTGGAGAGAAGGAGTGGCTGAGGCACTCACCTCGGAGTCATCAGCCTCTGGTTTGGACTAAGTGAGTAAAATCGTCAAGGAAGAACTTGTGCAAGGAAAAGACGAAAAGGATGAAAACTGAACCTGAGGGGGCAGGGTATTTTGGGCAGAATGAAGAAGGTGGGGTCAGTGCCGAGGATGGAAAAGAACTCCAAAGCTCGTAACCTCAAGGCTTTGTAGCATTTCTATTGCGTGAATACACTGCTACAACCTTTCCAGAAACAGATTTATTGATGTGTATCCAGAGTGTAAAAAGTATAAATACCCTTTGACCCATCAACTCCTGTGTCTAGAAATTTATCCTATGGTGGTTATTATAGCTCTACACAAAAGTTTACATAGAAAGGTGTAAACCGTAGGATTCCTAATGATAATGCTATTTTAGAAATAACCTGAATACTCAACTGGAGGGAGTTGGTTAAGTAAAGCCTAGCACATCTATATAATGGAATATTATCCATCTAATTTAAATCATGCTATAGAAGAATATTTGTTAAACGTGGAAAATTTTAATATATTAAGTGATAACTGTGTGTGTCTGTAGGTATACAAACACTTATCATATACATTGGAAAATCCTGGAAATATAACCACAATAGTCCCCTCTGAATTTTTTGCCTGTGGGAGTTTCTGTTTCTTTACTTTTTAAATAGACTTTACTCTTTTAGAACAGTTTCAAGTTCACAGCAAAATGAGTGCAAGTACAGAGAGTTCCCATCCCTTGCCCCACACATGCACCTCAGCCTCCCCAACTATCAACATCACTCACTGGCGTGGTACATTTGTTACAACTGATGAACCCACACTGATACACCATTATCATCCAAAGTCCCCAGTTTACATTAGGGTTCTCTCTTGATGCTGTACATTTCACAGGTTTTGACAACTGCATAAAGACCTGTAGCCACCATTATGGTATCATACAGAATAGTTTCACTGTCCCTCAAATCCTCTCTGTTCCTCCTGTTCATCCCTCCATCCCTGCTCAGCTCTGGCCACCACTTTTCTCCCTCTTCCCCCCGGCCCCGCTTGACTGAGATACAACTGACAAAATTAGAACATGATTAATGTGTGATTCATGATGATTTAATACATGTATACATTGTGAAAAAATTCTGCCTATGGGAGTTTTTAAATTACTGTTTCTGCTTTCTAAATTTTGGATAATGAATTACTTGTAGACATGGAGGAAAGTTATTTTCTAAATAGAACTAAAGTGGAACAATAGTGTCAAATTTTGCAGAATAGTGAAATAGGATAAGCACCAAAAATGGGTGATTAAATTTAGCAGCACAGAAGGATAACTGAAGACAAAGACAGGCAAGGCAAGAAGGGATGGGATGAGAAACAGAAGTCAAGTGTTTAGTTCTGAAGGAGAGGAAGACCATACTGAGAGAGCGGAGATGCACTGGTCCAATGCTGGAGGCTTGCGTGGGCTGAGCACAAGAGGAGAGGAGGGGCAAAAGAGAATGCTGAGAATGTCTTTAAATCATTCCCACTGCAGATGAGGGAAGGAAGTGAAACTGGCACCAACTGGCGATGGGAACAGGGAAGAGAGAGT